AGGCACTAAGCAATTCTAGGCACTAAGCAATTTCCTCACACCCAAACCTAGATGAGATCAATCCTTACGGCGCCAAAAATAGGCTCACTAACAAGTAACCTTACGAAAAGGTAAGGTGGAATGCTTTCTAAAAGATACAGTATGGCTCACTGCCGATGAAGGGACGTCTCAGACGGGATGAGTATGGCACGCCGCCACTATTCTCCATCAGTTGCTGAAGCGGATAAGTGGCAATGGAAAACGACTGGTAGGAACAAGATGGATACACTCTCTTGCTTAGCCAGATATTAAAATAGCGGGTTGGCGCCGCGCCACACGCAGTCGTACTGGCACGCACATCACCCACAGCAAACAAGACTAGACTACAATTATAATGTCCCTTCACAAATGTCAAAGATACAAATCTTTAAAGCGCTCAGGCAAGTTCTAATTAAATCATGCACTACGCTGCTGAACGTACTAGATTCCGGAAAATACTAAACTTCCGCAATTTAACAAATCTGGGACATACCTGTGGATTAGAGTCCTCATCTGTAGACCATTCAAACGAGAAACCTTGTTGATAGGCACAAGTTTACCTGGGGCGGTTGAGATGGGAAATCTGGCCCGGGGCGCATTGCTATCCAGTACTCGTCACACCTTTTGAACGTTTTATAATACATTTACACTATGTAAAGGAGTTTGGGGAAAACCTACTCTAAGTTCAACTGGATAGCAGGTGCAAAGGGATCAGTAAGATCCAAATGATCGGCAGGAAGAGCCGCGACCTCCCGTAACCATTTCCACTCCCAAGCGGGAAGTGTTTGAGAGGTGTCCTGCTTGCTAATGGCACCATCAACATCCTCCAAGAAAAAGCGCCAGACCTCATCTGACATGGGCAAGCCGCAAATCATCTGCAAAATTGTTTTAGCGTTAAATGTAAAAACGAGAAATTGGTGAGCATGAAATAAGGGCTGGTTTTGAACCAACAGCAACAAAAAACGCTCCGACTCTCGAATGTTTATAAAGAATGCATTGATCGATTCAACGTCAACAATAACAACGGGCTAATAACAGCACATGGATCAACAAATACAATAACAATGAAAATTCGCTATAAAACAATTTTGTTCAAATTACTGAAACCAATCCCCATAGCAGTAACTAGCGCTTTCCTGCACATATCGATTAACGAGACTCTTGCACTTTCTTCACTCCCATTTCGCTCTTATTCAAGCTTTCCTGATCTCGAGTACCAGCACCGCTTAATTCATATCCGATGCCAGTGCGTACTACGGTCTTCGCCTGTCGCGAAGTAATTCTTTTCTTTTGTACTTTTAAAACACTCTCTGGATCTGGAGAAGCTAGAGGCATTCAAGAATGTTGTTCTGAAAAGCCAGCTGACCCACCGTGAAGCGCTGACAAAATGGATGTGCAGCTGTGTTCCACTTTCAAAAGTAGGACAGCAATCCACATTGTCCCTGAAAAAAAGGTGTAGAATCGTAAGTTCCCGACCAAGGCGGCCCATTATACGGGTGACTTCGCGCAACGTATTTCCTAGCTATGTCCACAGGCATGCTCGTGTATAAAAAATGTTGTGGGGAGTTGTTGATGTGTAACGAAGTGCTAGTGAAAAGCTATTTAACACAGGAGTGAGTGGAAAAAACACTAAAACCCATGGAGAACGTCCCCCCCCCCTCTGTAGAGACCCATGGTACGCGCTCTTACGAGTATAAGGTGAAGGGCGTGGCCGGACGAGTTCTCACTTATTCGAGCCAGCTCTTTCTTCTAATCACTTCACACTAACTATTCGAATTGGAGAGAGAGTTAGTAGTGGAAGGACCACACTTCATGCAGTTGAAAATGATAGCTGGGCGTTGCCGTGTTCGTTGGGCGGAGCTGTGACCTCATCAAAAGTGGGTCGGCTTTCCTCAGGTTTTTTTTCGGACTGGGAAAGTTGCACACACCCCCACATGCTTGCTGACAATTACATGTCCAAAGAAGGCGCCTGAACATGAAATGATCGCGGGGCGTGCCCTTAATAAGATACAACGCAGCGCTGCCTTGTTCTGTCGAATGAATCCTGGTATAAACGATTGCAACGACTATTTCACCACGCTCGCCGCTATTCAGGACCAACGATATGTACCACTGAAAACGAACACAGAAGACCGAAAGACTCCAAAGAGCGAAAAGTAGCAGACAAACCTATAAACAGTCAAGGGGCCAAAAAGAAATTTTGAAATATCTTTTTGCCCAAGAGCCATGAAAGAGCTCGCCAGTATTTGAGCTGAACTATCCAAACATCCACCCTGAAAACATTGATTCATATTGGAACAATAATTTGTGTAAATCAAGCTTTGCCAGTGTTGCATTCACGGAGCCTTGACAACACTAGGCAATGATAAAAAGTAACCTAATTATCAAAAAAACGGGTATGAAAGAATTGAACACACTCTGTAGATTTCTTCCAGTAGTGCAATTGCAGCATTACTCCCAACATCCTCTGCTACAATTGGATCGCCAGCTTCTCCTTTCGGCTTTGACATCGCTTCTCCATGATACACAACCCCTTCTGTTGTTTCAGCCGTAAGGAACAATCCATATCCGGGAGAGCTGAACGAACAATTCAGTTGAAGCAACGATCACCCACGTGGTTATTATTCGAACTAGATAACAGCAATGTCCTGTTCAAGGAGCACGGCAATTTTTCTGTCTTGGAG